AGGACAGGAGGACAAAAGGACAAAGGACCAAAGGAACAGAGGACTGAATGACTTGATCAATTGTATTTAACATCCAAAGGAACGAAAGACCGAAGGATTGAAGGAAAGAGGACCAAAGGACTTGATCAATTGTATTTAATCATCTAAGAACCCATCTAATGGATGATGAATTGAACCATCTAAGAACTAGATTTATTTTTATTTTTTTTTTCGTGCCCTGAGAGCAGTCGTGAAAAACCATGGCTCTGATACCATGCTAAATTCATAAGAGAGAACATGACAATAGAAAGAAGATGATTTGTTGTATTGATCGTAGGAAAAGTTTTACAGAAAATATATAGAGATTACAAGAGATAAAATCATATCAAATCAAATATCTAGATACCAAAGATATCCATAAGAAATTATTGTCCATAATTATCTGATTTGCCATCTGTTACAAATTCCGTCGGAGTTTACAACTATTAAATCAAGTATTTCTGATGGTTATATGATGATCTGACAGTTACAAACACGACAGAATGGTTCCGTAACGGACATTTCCCATGTATAATATACCTTAATCCATTTTACTTTTTTTTTTTTTTCTTCAATTAGGATCCATACCTGCATCATTATTTGAACACGTCCATTAATTTGTTTGTTTGTCTTTTTCAAATGTTAAAAGATGTGGTAAAATCACTGTTACTATTGGTGGGAACTAGCTTGCTTTGAGTTTGAGCTGCAGTACTACTAAAAACACCAAATTTCCCATGATGGAGAAGTCACCCTTCTACAAGGAGTCTACATCATCTTCATCCACCGATGCATCACATACATGAAGGTTGAAGCTATGCGACTAGAAATTGATCCCGATGATCGAAGTTATATACTCTATAATATTGGTCTTATCCATACAAGTAGCTTCGGAAATAAAAATATTAACTATAATTATCTGATGAATAAAAATATTTTTCTTTTTTAATTTATAATAATTTAATATTAAAAATAATCTAAAAAATACCGATTAAAAATAACACATTACAGAATAAAAACAATTAAAAATAATTTCTACTTTTATTTCAATGTATATAACTGTATCCATACTCATAATTAAAATTGTCTATAAATAGTTATAAAAAAAAATTATGTATATTCATAATCTTGTCTTAGCTAGATTTACATAATAATATATTTGTGTTAATTAATATATATAATAATTTATATAACAAAATAAGAGCATAACAATATAAAAAATGAAAAAAAATTCAAAACTAGTCCTACATGTTAGTGTCATGCCACGTGTGATAATTGTTGCCAGCGTGTCAGGAAAAAGAGTCACATCTGCGCCACGTTGATTTTTCGGGCCTTTCGAACTGGAAATCTCATCAAAATTCCTATTTTTGTTACTTTTGAAAGTTGTGGGACAATTTGGGGTTGTTTTATTGGGGGGAAATTAAGGGTGTCTTTGGTTCAACGGAGGGGAAGGGAGGGGAGGGATTTTAATGGAGAGGAAAAGAGTGGAGGAGATGTAAAATAATTTTACCTTGTTTGGAGGGAAAATTTAAGAGGGGAAGAGATAAAAAATGGTAAACCCTGTTTAGTTAAAAAAACTAAATGAAGGGAAAATAAAACTAAAATGACAAACTTACCCTTAATAAATTAAGAAAAAAAATTAAAAACAATTAAAAGTATGGACTAAATAGTCATTTAACATCATCATATAACACTTCCCCTTCAAATCCCTCCAATTTTGGAGGGGAAAAAAAGTGAGGGAGGGGAGAAAAAATTACTTAAAATTTTCCTCTTCCTCCCCTCTTAATTTTGCAACCAAACAAGTTAAAATTAAAATTGTCCATCCCCTCCCCTCCACCAATTTTGCTCCCCTCCAAAAGTGGGGGAATTTGGAGGGGACGGGAAATCTTTGAACACAAAATTATTTTTTTATCCTTGTCACGTGAATTATTTTATTTTTTTTTATTTCATACATCATTAAAGAATAACTGTCATTTTTACAATATTTTCTTTCTCTTCTATTTTCTAATCAAACAAGGTTTACCATTTTTCCTTCACTCTCCACCTACAAAATCTTTCCAAACAAGATAAAATTATTTTACATCACCTCCCCTCCCCTCCTCTCCCCTCCGTTAAACCAAACATACACTTTGTGATTCTCACTATACTCCGAGATCGAAATGGCACCCTCTTATATTTGTTGGACTAGTTTGAATTTTTCTCGAGAATATGGGTTTAGGTCTATATGACGATTCCAAGAGTTCGACAAGCAAAACGAAAATTAGGTCTCTCGAATGAACTCTTGTGCTCACAATCTGCATCACTTCTGAAACTGTGTTCGGTAGTCAGCATTCCATGTTTCCATCATTTTTGCTCCTCTTCTTTCTCCACGTCGCGAGTTCTCGAAGACAAGTTAAATTTTCAAACCTCAATCATTTATATTAAATCCAATTTTCGTTTGATTTAGGACAAACCAATTTCTCGAAACTTTGTGATATTCAGAGCGGCGAGACAAATTATGCATTTAATTACGTTTGATTTAGGTGAGGAAACAAATCGCAAATTTTTTTATTTCGTAGGAAGAAAGTAATGCTTTTTTTTTTTTATTCATGAAAATCGATTAACATGGATTAATTTGTTATGAGTAGACATGTCCGATTCAATCACTTTACTTCAAATTTTTAATTAAGTACTGTTTAGAATTTTTTTATCGGCATAATTACTGAGCGGCAAAAATTGTTCTTAATATTATGACATTTTTTCTAAATTACAATTTAATTACAAACTTTTTCAATTTTGCAAATCATGTCACAATTTTCAGTTTGTTGCAAATTGGTGCACCGATTTGCATATCCCGTGCAAGCTGTGTCGCAATCTTCAGTTTGTTGTTCGATCACACCATCTTTTCAATGACTGTTTTCAGACTGTTTGCAGCAAATTAAAGATTGTGATATAATTTGTAAAAGTAAAAATGTCGTGATTAAATTGCAACTTCGATACATGTCGTGATATTAGAGGCTGTTTGTTCAAGATCAGCCTCAACCAATGATTCTTCAGAAATAATTTCAAATATATTGACAAAGACAAGTAAGAAAATATCAAGTATCCTTAGCCTGTCAATTTAACCCTAGGACCACGGGGCAATGGATGTTAACCTAGTCAACCACAAGTAACAATATATATGTCATCCTAATAAATTGCACTTATATGGTTAAAATTGTACAGAAATATATCATTAAACATATAACACTTTAGGACAGATTTAATTTAAAATTAATAATAATAAAATCAATAATTAACTTGATACAAAAAAAAAACTTATTACAATTATTATTTAAAATTTAATCTTCACAATCCTCACCATCCTGGAAAAAAAAATAAAAAAATAAAAAAAAAAGCAGAACTTACAATATAATAATAATAAAATTGATAATTACCTTGATGAAAAAAAAAAAAAAATTATTACAATTATTATTTAAAAATTAATCTTCACAATCCCTCATCATCCTGAAAAAAAAAATAAAAAAAAATAAAAATAAAAAAAGCAGAACTTACAATATTATTAATTTAATCTTGTCCATAAATTGATCTGTAAATCAAAATACCTCCCTATTCGTTGGAAGAGCTGCACGCAATTATCAACAAAATTAAATTATTTCCAAATAATTAAAAAAACATAAATAAATCAGATCTACATAAATACAACAATAATATAATAAACATCAATATTAGTTTCTTACCTAATATTGAACTTGTGGTGCTCCAAAATTGCGGTCAGTCCAGATTGCGAGGCGAAATTACCCATATCCCATCCGTCGCCGATGTTGTTGTAAGAAGCCGCGGGGACATTGTTATAGCCGAAAGCCAACCGCTGGCGGTCGACCTTCGTCTTATGGATGGCATCCTCGGATTCTCGGACGAGATCATCGTTATCCAGCTCGTAAGCCCTGCACGCCTCTAGCTGGCTGTTGATGTAGCTTTGCATATGAGGCAAGTCGTGATGATGATAAGTAGAGGCCCCTTGAATCTCCATTTGCTGCTTGATGCACATTTTCTCTCGGGTCCTCTCCCTAGCTCGTGCCCGTGCCTTCACTCGAGACTCCTTCAGGGCCGCCTGCTTCATCCCACCTCCTTTATTATTATTATTATTATTATTGTTGTTATTCTTTTTTCTCGATTTTCCCTTTTTATCGGCCGTCGTCGAGTTTTCTTGGGGGGAATTAGTTATATTGTTGTTGTCGTTGTTGTTGTTGTCGCATTCGGAGGAATTAGTGGATTTAGAGGCGACGAGGTGTTTGATGGCGGAGCGAGACTTGGTGAGGAGCCAGTCGAGGGTTTTGCTGGGCTTGTCGAAGCCCAAGAGCTCCTGGAGGTCGAAGAACTTTCGGGCCACGCCGATGGAGAGGCGGACGCGCCTGTCTCGTGGGCCCTGGGCCGTGTTTATCTTGCTGTGCCGGTCCTTTTTGGATGTTTTAGGAGCTGAAGAAGGAGGAGGAGGAGGAGGAGGAGGTAGGTAGTGAGCCGAGAGGAGGTCGTGGTGAGTCACCGGGATTTCGTGTTGCGACTCGAGGGAATTCGGATCCGGATCGACTTCATCGAACAGGTAACAGTTCTTGCTCAACATTATTTATTTTTTCTTCACTAAGAAAAAGAAGAAGAGGAAGAAGAAGAAGAAGAAGATGGGTTGTTTTATGAGAGGTCAATTTTTGTGAAGACAAGGAAAGCTGTTGTTTCTTTCACTTTGTCTACAGAAGGAAAAGGACATTAGGCAAAAGCATGAGAAAAATAGGGCTTCTATA